CCGTAAGTCTAATACAGTACTGTAATTTTATACATTTCTTGTGAAAGAAACATTTCTTATTCAACGGCGATTAAAATTATTTATATTAATGATGTCTCCAAAGTTCAAGGAAGTTTTCGCAGAAAAATAACTTATCAGAAATTGGCCGCGGTTTGGTGCGCTGCTCCGCGACGAAAACAAGCTTGAGCAATGGCGATGTCGAATGGTGCACACTCGGTAAATAATCCTACAATTTTTTGTTTATAGCGTAGTTTATACGGATTATTCCCAAAAAATATATGTATTTTGGAAATGTTGAGTCGAATTAGTCTAGAATTGATTAATTTTATGGAAGAAAACCTTTCAAACAGCCGTAGTCTGTAAACTTCACACGTGTCGGGCTGTGATTGGCAAGGACTCGTAAGAAATTGATTCATAAAGAACGGAACATATCTACCGTCTTATAGGGGGGTCGACTGTAGTAGGATGTCATCTACATAGCATAAGTATAGTGATGGGTAACATATAGCAAGTGCGGCGTTGAAAGTTTTGTGTTCCACATTTCTCATAATGAGCTTGGCTAAGACTGTGGAGAGAGGGGAGCCCATGGGAACTCCTTGCTTCTGTAAGTAGACTTTCTGGTTGAAGCGGAAATAGTTGTTTTCAGTGATGAAGATCAGCGCTTCACAAATGTCTAGCACCTGTTGAACCATAAAATGTTTTCTGAGGAGCATAGCATTGGCTAACATTTTGGCTTCAAATATTGGAATGGATTGTTATAGGGATATCATGTCCAGTTTGTAGAAGATGCAGATTTTGCCATGTTGGAACCAATGATGGTTTTGGCATCTATAGAGGAAAGAGTGACATGCAGTGATTACAGAAGCAGCTCTCGTAGAAACTTTGCAAGAGACTTTCTCCAGGTGGTAAGTGGGATGCGTCCTTTTGTTTACTAATGGTCGTAATGGCCAGTTCTCTTTATGCATTTTTTTGTTGAAAAAACAGCCTAGGGCAGGTAATGTTGGAGGGAGGATTGAGGCATCCTGGTAGTGTCAAGATTATTCCTGGTAGTGTTGTGATTTTCTTTGCTCTTCGTTCTTGTTTTTTTTTTGCCTGACGATGACGAACTTATACTCGTCGAAAGTATTTGCGAGATATGTTTGAATTGGTTTAGCGTTGGTGTTTGATATATAGGTGTGGTGAGTAGTGAGTTTTGAGATAAGAAAAATTGTGTTAATGCTGAACTCAGTGCTTGTTATCAAGAAGCTATACAATTTTGGTTTTTGTGTTTCTATTTTTGAGTTTTTATTTATCTATTTCTATATGAAATGCATAACATTGTCAACAGTGCATGGTTTGGTTTTTTGCATTTTTCACAGGTTGTGTTGTCGTTAAGTCTAGTAACAAGAATATCTATAAATGGTAACTGGCAATTATTTTCGGGTTCTAAATCAAATTTAATATTTGTATCTATTTTATTTACATGTTCAAGAATTTGATCAGCCTGTATAATATTGTTATCGTATACAACAAAGCAATCATCAATGTAGCGTTGCAGTTCTATAATACCCTTAATGTTGGCGACCTCTTTGTCTACATTGGATATGCTTAGTTCTGCTAGAATTGGACCTATTACAGAACTCATCTGGATCTCATCATTCTGCCTATAGAACTTTTCATCACTTATAAAGTAATTATTTTCTAATACAAGAATCGCCATGTCTATAATTCATTGGTGACATTTAAGGGTTTCAGTGTTTCTAAAATGAGGTTTTGTTTTATAGACAGATACATGCTATGTATGTCCAAGGAGGACATGTGAGAGAAGGATGTCAAATAATTATGGACAATGTTAAAGTAGTAAAAAAAGAATCTAACACACAAAAAAGATGGTATGAACATTGCCAGAAAATGCCAGGTGTGTGTCACTTTGAGGAGATGCCCAACTATTTTTGACATGCTTCGGAATGGGAAGGACCCTCCCAACCCTAACAGACTCCCTGGCATATATGATTTCCCATTAGGGACAACAAATACGATAGAGACCTGGGCAACTAAGCGCTCCAAGGGAATTGGGTTACAAGAGCATCTTGTGGATATACGACATGAGAGAATTACTATGGCCCTCTCTACGTACACTGCAGATCCAGACATCATGGTGGACTTTAATGGGGCCGAACCCATTCTTGCTTCGCCTCTCACGGAACACCTCAGATGGTTGGAGGCCATCCAGATATTTAAATCTACTTTCACATCAGCGTGCATAAATTTTGGGGAAGAGATAGTTTTGTCAGTGACCTGGCAAGAGTTGATCAACAACACGATTTTACCATTTGTTTAGTCCTTGTTGGGCAACTGAATGTGCAGGCACAACATGGATTTTGAATTTTTCGTGTTTGTGATTTGAATGCTCGTTTGAATTTATATTCTAAAAAGCTTTTATGAAGTTCCATTCGGTAAATGTTACAATGTCTGAAGACATTTTTGAACTCTGACAGAGTTCGAAAATGTTTGCATTAGTTTTTTCATTTTTGTTTTGTTTCTGTGCATACTGTAATTGGTTCTGAGTATGTGATTAATATATTGTTTTTACATTATATGTTCTATCAGTTAAACCTGATAATATCTGTTATATATGGAAGGAAACATTACTTACAAAAAAATTTTTGTTTTTTTACTGATTATTGGTGTTGATGGTGTAATTAATTTACTTATTAATCCAGTATTTTGACAGTTGGTATTAATTCTATGGAAGATCATTTATACAAGATAAAAATTTTTGACAGAAAAGTTTTTATTTTGAAAAACAGACAGAATACTATCTAATGTTGACAAAGTTTATTCTATAATTTCTATCTTGATAATTGCCTAAAATGGTTGGTTACAGTAAACATTCTTAAGATACAGTTTAGCAGGATATAAAATTTTAAAGATTGGAGATGTAAATTTTTTTTCAGTGAGTTTATATAATAGATATATTTTTTGTTAATTGAATTATAGTGTAAATTTTTGTGTTATTTCTAAAAATTTAATTATTAACATAATTGTTTTACAGAATCTTGAGCCAGTAATTCAACCGGAACAGTTGAATGACCAACCTCGGGAACAAGGTTTTCAACATGGTGCTCTGGCAGCAGCTCATCAAGCTCTATTGCAAGGAAATGGTCCAACTGGATTTCAACCATACAGACGTCCTAAATATTTTATTCTAAAGGTTTTTTCAAATTTTTATTTATCTTAAAATAATATGTTTATGCAATTTTTATTGAATAAAAATTTTTATTTGGTTTTAATGCTAACAAATGTACTTGAATGCATTTTCTATTCTTACACTCTGCTCTAACTGCACTTTATAAAAAACAAGTAAACCTCAAAAAAACCTTTTAAAAATGCAGCCATTTTATTATCTTTTTGAATGCTCTCAGTCATTTTTAATGATATTCTTCAAGAACAAAAATTGAATGATTCTGATTTCTATACAATGAAATTTGTTACTGAACGTTTTTAAATTTGAACTTTCTAGTGCGCAATCTCGTAAATAAAAATTACAATATGTATGCAATAACATAATAACATGTGCAAACGTACTAAATAAATAACTACATAAATAAAATAACATAACTGAAAACATAAAAAGGCCACAATTGTACCTATTTCTTTAAATTGTCCCTTTTTGCCTGCAGTATATTTATATTATGCCCGCTCTCCATGCTGCTGAGATTTTACTTGATTCTCTGAAGTTGATCGCTTGTCCTGCCTGGTTGGTCTTGTGTATTTGTCATGCCTCTGCATATTTGAGGTGTCACTTGTCTTGAATCTTTTGTATTACTTTTGCTCATTCCCATTCCACTGTAACCTCTGTTGGGTCTGCTATAATATACATCGCTAGTGCAGTGACTGGCTGCTTGTCCCATACATTTGTTTTATGTTCTTTTAATCTTTCTTTTAATTACCTCCCTGTGGCTCCAATGTAGTAAAGCTCTTTTTACTTCCTTTTGTTTTGTACTGGAATTCTATACACACTGAGACTAAGGCTCTGGTCTTCCTTGGGACTGTGTCTTCCTTGTCCGTATGTAGCATCTGGTATACTGTTGGATTCCTTTTGAAAATTATCTTTTTGTTTGTTGCTGCTCCTATTTCTTTGTAAATATTGCTTATGGGAACCATGTATTCCATCACTGTGTAATCCTATATTTTTCCCTGTGATAGCGATGCATTAGCTTCGCTATCATCCATTTTTCTTTTGTTGGTTATTGTCTTTATTGCATTCAGGTTGACTCCAAATTGCCATGCTAGCTCTTAGATATGCTCTAATTCTTTAATTAATTCTGTCCCGAACTTTGCTGCAATCTGTGTACACTCTCTTTATAAGTGCCTGGAATGCTGCCAGTTTATAACTTGCCACGTAGTAGGAAGTCTATGGTATTAACAACGGGTTATATGTCGGCTTTCTGTAAACTTTTGTAGCGCTTTCCCCTCCTCTCTTTCTATTGATATATCCAAAAAATGTACAGTTTTGTCATTCTCTTGTTTTAGTTCAATCTCTAGGCTGAACTTGTTGGAGATGATGTCTTTTATTAATTGCTGTATATCTAGTTTTTCTTTGCAGATAATCAAGACATTGTCAACATAACATGCATATATTATGACTTGTACTGTGTATTTTGGTATGATGGTGTTCTCTAATGTCCTTAAGACCATCTAGCATAATGTACCAGATACACGACTTACCATTGCTACTCATCTATGTTGAGCATATGTTACTCCTTTAAAATTAAAGATCAATGAATATGTAGCTAGATGCATCAGTTCTAGTATCTGTTTTTTCATGTTTTCCATGTTTCCGATCATGCTCATTAGGAAGTCTCTCAGATGGCAAAAACATGGCTCTAGTTTGATTGAGGGATATAAAGCCTTGAAGTCTAGTTCAATCATGTAACTTCCTTCTTTTAATTTCAGATTTTATAATTTCTGGAGGAATTCTAGCGGCTGTTTTATGCTGTAATCGTGTGGAGGCATGTGTGTGTTAATGAAGTTTTTGAGTAATTGTTCTAGCATTATCATAGGGGAGCAGCATTTATCAACCATTGGTCTTATACTTCTTTCTGTTTGTTTGTCTTGGCAAATCTGTACAGTCTAGGAGCTGATGGAGAGGCGACTACTATTTTTTTCATTCCAAGCTCTTTTGCAAGCATTGTGTTAGAAAAGCATTTGACTCTTGCGTCTAATTGCTCCAGTGCACCTGAGTGGGAAATTATCTGGCAGTGTTGTTGCAAAATATTTATAAAGTTACTTTTGATATATGTCAAAAACTGGGTTATTATAAATATACCACTCACCAAACCATCACCAGTTCATGACACGAAAAAAGAAAAATTCTTACCTGAAGATGTCTATTTCTCATAGATGAAAACGTTTGTAAGAATTTTTTTTCATGTCATGAACTGGTGATGGTTTGGTAAAGTTACTTTTGATTTTGATTGCTTGAAAACTGACACAAAGTTGAATTCAGTGTAAGTCAAGGTATTACTTGTCTTTATAATAAAGAAGGATTTTAATATAATTGTTTTATTTTATGTTAGATAATTTGCTTACTGACTCTGATTTGTGCAAGCTTAATGATTGGAAGTTTAGGAATGCTAACTATACCAGGTAAGTGTAAAAGTTTAGAATTTTAAGTTACTCATAAAATTAAGTAATTTTATTAATTGGAAAAATGATCTATTTATATGAAAATAAAAATTATGTAAAGGCTCTCATATATTCTAATGCACAAAATACATGGAAAGTTTAACGTTCCACCTATTTGAAATTGTAACCTAAAGCTGGTCTTAGAAGAAGACTGAAAACGTTCGTTTTTTTTAACTTTTACCATTCTGCTGAGTGAATACCAAGATAGGGAGTTTCCACATGCATGAAATGATTTGGTAAAACTAACTTGGCTTTGTCATCACAATCACCACCTTATTCCTCTCCTGTCGTCTGGTAGATTATATGCAGACTGAACTGCTATTTGCTAAGCTACATTTCAGAAACTTTTTCACTGCTGTTACTACTACTAATTATGCTAACATTTTGTATGTGATGTTGCTTTTTTTTAAAAAAAAAACATTTAACAGAAAAGTGATAAATGAGGAACAGTTGATACAGGTTTAATTTTTATAGTCTAAATAGAATTTGTTTAGGGACCCTAGAAATTAAAACAACGTTTCTGAGAAAATGATAAAATCTGGAATGATCGAATGAAGTTTTATTGTATTTTTTATCCTATTGTGTTTCTTATATTCAAAAAAGCAATGTTTCCTAATTTTAATGCCAATATTGATAGCGTGTCTATATTTCAAAATTACTGATGATCGTTTTTGATGGCTAATTAATATCAGATATTCAGTTGACAATAATTGAATGTCATCTTGCAACTTTTACTATGATTGTTCTGTTTTCAGTCTCTTATCATTCATTAACTCGTTTTGAACAGTGTGCAAGAGATAAATATTTTGATATTGTGTGGTACATTTTTTTCTGAGAAGCCTATTAGATGACTTTTTAAAATTGGATTGAATTACACAACTAATTTGATAAGTCCTAATTAGTTTTATACTTTAAGATATAAGTAATATATTAAGTATACCTCTTAAATGTCAAATAATGCATAGCTACATGTGGAATTACAGCTGTTATACATTTAAACATTTAAAAACATGATGCAAGTTCTCTGCTTCAAATTTTGGTGCTTTTTAATTGGTTTAATTGATTTCTTTTGTTTTTCTAAATTTTTATCATTTGTGCTTATGAATTTATTGAATTGAGATAAACAAGGAGAGAATACTTATGAGACTTTAATCTAGTTTAAATTGCTTCTTGTTTGAATAACTATTTTAAATTTTCAATTGGCTATTATTGTGTGTTTATATATATATGTTGGTTTTTATAATATGTTGGATATATATATATATGTGTGTGTTTTAGCTGGCAGCACTGGCACTTTTGTGTGATGTTTTTCTGAGGACTGTGTGTCATGCTGAATCAAATGTTTTTGATACTAGATTAACTTTTAAAGTATAGTTTTTTGTTTTTATATTTTTCAATATATTTATTTTGTTTGTACAAAATAAAGAAATAATTGTTAACCATACAATAGCCACGATTATTATAAAAATTTATGTTAGGTTAACATCGACGAAAATTCAATGTGAAGTGACACGCAATGGAGAAAAATTTCAACATTGGATAGGTTAATATATTTTTTCATACATTGTTTTGAAATGATCACAACACGTTGTGGTCATTTTTTTCGCTCAATGAGCGATTTCAGTCTTTGAGCCTAACACACATAATTTACAATTACAGTGGAACCTTAGTCAACAAGCATAATTTGTTCCAGAATCTTACTCGTAATGTGAAACACTCGTTAAGTGAATCAGTTTTTCTTTTATAAATTAATGTAAAATGCAATAATGCATTTCATGCCAAAAAAATACTCAAATATTTTAACAACAATCCACAAAACCTATTTTTACAACAGTGTTGTAAAGTGCTAAGATTAGTAGTCGTTTTGTGTCAAATATTTTATGTATAACATTTATTCAAAGAAAATTATAAAATATACATTATTAAGGAGAATGAATTATCTTTATCTTTTCTTCTAGCACAGAATGAACCAACCTGGAATGCGAATATGATTTGCAAAAAACAAAAAAAATCACAGATAATATGTCTGATAAACACACCAAACAATATGACAAATTCTTGGGCTATGTAGCCAAATGCTTGGTTCACGTAGCCCAAGAATTTGGCATATTCTTTGGCGTGTTTATTATATAACCGACTATGGTTGTTGATGTTTATACATAATATATCTGAACACAAGTTTGGAAAAATGTTTGATCACAAGCAACACTAAGATGCTAGCGGAATGAGTACTAAACACAGACTGATGGAGCATGCAAACAATCTGGGACTTTCCCTCTTCTTGTTACTCATTATGCGAAACATTGCTCATTAAGCAAGTTAATTTTTTACAATATGTTTTGCTCATTATGTGAAATACTCGTTATGCGAGGTGCTTGTTAAGTGAGGTTCCATTGTATTTTATGTAAAGATTGCATTGATTTGAAAAACTGTTTATATGTTGAGATGCAAACTGCCAATCTTGCCAAAATGGGTAATTTACATAGCCACCAAACCTCATCTTTGACAAAAGATTTCTCTAAAATTGCTGAAAGTTGTTCAAAATGTTCAACTTCACTTTTCTTGAAAATGTTTCAAAAGCATGCTTTTTTCTTTGCTCATTAAAGGTTTATATCAGACAAAGAATATTACTGAAATTTCTGAGGACTATGTTGTAATTTGCAGTAGCCCTTCATAAAATAAATTAGTTTAACAAATTTATTGAAAATTAAAATGAATAAAGTTAAAGTATATTTATAAGTTAATATTGATATTTGACCAATACAGTGTAGTTATGCATTACATCAAATTTAACATCATGACATTATTTTCACACTAGCTGGCATGAGGTGGCAGTTGCTTTAATTATTGATCATACATTTATAACATTAAAATATTTTTTGTTTCATGTTTATTAGCAGCTCATTGTAAATATGTGTGTGAACATCCAAGTCTTAGTATTTTGTAATAATCATATCATTAAATGCCACATTATTTGGTTTATATTTTGGCTAACTATTAATAATTAATATAAAATAATTTTCTATAAAGACAGATGAGTAGACTGCTGTTTAATTGTAATATTAACAATCGCATTATTTTTTTATTTCAATTTAAAAATAGCTTAGCCAAACATTAGAATGTTATGATACATGTCACGAAAACAACTGAATTGAGTAGGAAGGTCATATTTAAATGTTTTATTATTTATTTGGAGTGATATATAACTATCCTATTCAAGTAATGATTCTAAGCTGGTGCTTATTTGGAAAACAATCCACATTTTAATAAACAACCCTTGTAATTATTTATTCTTTCTTCTTGAACATTGCACATTGTTTATCAAGTTGATAAAATGAGGACATGTATTCAGGAACTTATTTTACAGAGATTGAGAAATGTTCTTCAAATAATCATTATGCAAAATACATTTTGAGTCCAGACTCATCTTCAGTTACAGACTATTCTCTAAGATGATTATGAGCAAAGTCAACAGAAAAATACAAATTTAAAAATTTTTTCATTGTTCATAAATTATTTAGAATTATTAAACCTGTTTTCACTATATGCTAACTTTACTCTCATACCAAGTTTGCCTGGGTCTTCCTCTCTCTCTTTTTTTTTTTTGTGGAATGTATTCCACAAAAAAAGAGAAATAGATTATTTTTTAAGATCATTAAAAAAGGGTGTTGTGAGGCTATTGAATAAAACTGATGAGATGAATAAAAGTAAAATAAAATTGATGGCTCATAAAATCTTGTACAGTAGATCCCCCTATAAGATGGTAGATACGTTCCGTTCTTTATGAATCAATTTTGTAGGAATCATAGTTTACGGACTACGGCTGTTTGAAAGGTTTTCTTTCATAAAATTAATCGATTCTAGACTAATTCGACTCAACATTTCCAAAATACGTATATTTTTTTGAAAATAATCCGTATAAACTACGTTATAAACAAAAAATTGTAGGATTGCTTACCGAGTGTGTACCGTTCGACTACGCCCGTTGCTAAAGCTTGGTTTCGTCGCGGAACAGCGCATCAAATTGCGGCCGCTATTTCTGATATTATTTTTCTGCTAAAACTTCGTTGACCTTTGGAGACATCATTAATATAAATAATTTTTATGGCCGTTAAATAAGAAATGTTTCTTTCACAAGAAATGTATAAAATTACAGTACTAAACAGACGATAGGTCGCCTAACTCGCCGTAGCGTGACGCTAGACGGCGAAAAATATATATTTAATTATAATAAAGTTACAATAAATTAAGTTAATATATAATTATATATACAGTACCTAATTTATATATAATTAATATATAATTATATGTACAGTACCTAATTTATATATAATTTATATAATACTGTCCAGACGATAGAAATCTCTCCGTAGCGTGGCGCTACGGACGGCGGGTAAGTAGTTCGGCTGCCCGATGACGTTTTACGTATTATAGGAGTTATTTTTACCGTTGTTTACGGATAATGCCACAATTTTTATAGGAATCATAACTATAGGAAACGCTTTTATAGGGGGATCTACTGTATGTGATTGTATAAGAATCTTGTAGTATAAAAGAGGTATAAAAAAACTATAATTAAAATTAAATCTACACTACTATATAAAGAGACAACGTATTTACGTTTGTTCCAACTTACCGCAAAAACTACTCAACCAATCATTACCAAATTTTAATTGTACCATCTCTATGATCACCAGAATGTTTACCACTAATCAAACCTATAGATTTTTTACAAAAATTTCTAAAAATCTTCTATATAAATAAAACTGTAGTGGTCAAAACATTTGTTGCCACATCACGAAAAAATGCCTTAACATATTGTAACCAAACTTCATATTTTGAATCTGTGGATTCAGGAGAACGTTTGTAGATACATATCATCTCAAAATCTACATTAATTAAATTAAACTGCAACAGATTTCTGTCTGTCTATTTGTCTGTCTCTTCACTATATGGCGACACATGAATTAGTATTTCCTGTCAAGGCATTATCTATAAGAATAGTGTATTATTGAAGTTTACTATTATATTTGAAGAACTGACATTAAAATATAATAAGTTAATTAGCAAAATCTTCAAGGCATTAAAAAAGTGACATCATCATGCTAGATGGTAGTATGCGGGTTTTTCGAATTGTTAACCCGTCGGCACGCGCGTGCTCCGTCAAATTTAAATTACGCGCGCTCGGTCAAATAGGCACCAATTTAAAAAATTAATTAATAAAAATTTAGCGTCGAAAAACGGGTACTTTTACTTTAATCCAGTTCTAAGATATGTTTGTAGTCGAGTTTAGTCAAAAAATTTTAATTTTGTTATAATTTTTTGATGATTTTAATTTTTTAATATTAGAAGGTAATTATCATAAATTACAAAGTGTCGTGTTTCATCTTCGCTCCCGTTCAAATATATAGTCCTAGATACGCGCCGATGTTTGTTTTTACTTCTACTGATGTTTTCGCTTTTATTTCACCCTCGGCCGTTTTGGTTATAGACGATGGGGAGACGGGCGTCACGTGATCGCTTACCTCACTTTTTACCACAGAAATTATTTTACCTCGAAAGTTTTATTTTTTTTCTCGATTTTAATTATTATTAACTAACTTTTTTTGATAGATTATAATATATATGTGTTTTCTGAAGTTGCAGATATTTTTTAAATTAAGTTTTACGCATTTATGTTTTTTTATTCGCATTTTATATATAAAATATAAAAAAATTCAAAAATTAATTAATTGTTATCAGAAATGCTAAACTATAAGTACGATGTGTTTTACAGTACTATTGCGAATAGATATAGTCAATTATTTTGTAAACATACTTATTATTTTAATTTTTATAAATTATTTAATTTGATTCAACGCGACGCGCTCAAAATCGATTATTTACCGTCGCGCGTTATTTAAGATGGCGGCGGGACCCGATTTAATTACTTCTTCATTTAAGATGTTAATTAGAGAGTGCTATTTTAATTAAATTTTAGACATAATGTATGTTTATTATAATTAATAAATTCATATAAAAATAATATATATTTCTGACTGTAGTTTAAAGCTTACATGCGCAATGTAACGGCAAAATATATAAACCAAATTAACGCAATTTTTTTATTTTTACTGATATACAGTAAATGCTTAAATACTCGATTTCTCTACTATCTAACAGTATAAAATACTTGTTAAAATATAGAATTTATATTTAAATAATAAAAATTCTATTTTTTTATTTAAATTTATTTAAATAAAAAATTTATATTTTTTAAAATTTGATTTATAAATGCAAAAACTAAACTTATAAAATATCAACTCACTATAAATAACTTCAACTTTCCTTTATTGACATCAGATTTGTTAAATTTCACGGAATTGTGCTATTTTTCAACTCTATTATTTATTCTCTGGAAAATAATAGACTCTAATAAGTCTTACTAGAGTCTATTATATAAACTTACTAGTCTTCCACTGTGAAAAACAACAAACTGCTAAACGCTCTATTACTTTGTTTTCAAAAACTTCCTTCTCTGTCAGCCGAGGGTCAAATGGTTAACAAATTGGTTACTTCCACTCAGGGAAATGTGATGGTGTCATAAAACTTTATAAAATGATTAAAAAATACCAATGAAAGAAATTAAATTATTTTCGGTCAAATTTCAGTTTTTTAGAAGTTATTCGCTTTATAATAACGCGATTATAAGCGAAGAAGCGCGCGCCGTAGCTGCAGCTATTTTTAGTAACAGCGACTGGCGGGAAATTTGAAAATTGAAATCCGAGATCACGCGCGCCATAGTGCCGATTCGGCACCAATAATTAAATAAAAATAATGAGACGCTTTAAGCAAAAACTGAATTGCGCATCGTAAAATTGAAGAAAAATTAGACAGGTAATAATTTTTTCAGATTTTTCACACAATTAGGATTTTTACACGAACTAATTAAAAATCGATTGGTGCCTAATCGGCACTAGGCGTGTGCCGACGGGTTAAATATTGTGTTTGTGATTCATTAGGCCTAGGTGTATTTGCGTGAGAGAAGATTATGCCTACTTAAATTTTTGGCACGAAAAAGTCTGAAGTGCTTTCATTTATGACAATCTTATTTAAGACTATTCATCATCAGCTAATATTGGGTTTATAGATAAAGTATGTGGGTATTGCAGTGCTCTGAAGTGGAAGAATGAATCACAGTGGATTTACTGCTCTTCCGGCAAAGTTAAACTGGATGTTGTACTTGCCCCCGAACTTTTTCTATCACTATTAAATGGGACTCATCCTGACACTAAACATTTTTTTAAAGCACAATAGGGTCTTCCAAATGACATGTTTTGGTTCTACTGAAATACTTGAAAGAAATTTCATGCCAACATTCAAAATTGAAGGACTAGACATATCATTTAATAGCATACTGTTAAACCTGACAAATTACCCATTTGAATGAAAATGCCTACAATTTCCAGTTGGTCTATACTTTGCAATGACCATTAACAAGTCTCAAGGCCTAAGTCTGCCCAAGAGTTATGGGACTTGGTCTGGGATGCAGTTGCTTTTCACATGACAACTTTGTTGTGTGCTCACATGTTAGTAGCTGCAAATCTGTTCATTTGTGCTCCTGATGATAAAACACGAAATGTTGTATATAGAGAGGATATTCAATAAGTTTACCTAGAAAATATTCCACACCTTTAATAGGAATATTATGAATCTGTAACAAACAATTCTCTGCAGATATACTCTTTAGGTAAGTAAATATAATTTTGCCAAATAAATATCTCCCATCAACTACAGTCGACCCCCCTATAAGATCATTGATTTTTCCGTTTTATCTGAATTACATGTTGTACGAGTCACTTAGATTTTACAAATATGTGAGCCATTCACAGTCCGGCACATGCATTTATAAAATCTAAGTGACTCCTACAACATGGAATTCATATAAAACGGANAAGGTGGGAAAAGGGACAGTCAGAGTAGGTAGGAGGATGGTAGAGAGAGGAAGAGTAGTGAAGTGGTGGAGTTCAAAGGTGGGATTAGAGATTAAAGTTTTTTGTTACGATATTTGGTTGCTTGAGTTTCTGTGTGATGAACCGGCAGGATGGAATCCATAATTCAGATCGGGTTCTCTACATTGGTACAGCCGACAGGATAGTGAAGCCAGATTGACAAGATTCGATCTATGAAAAGAGTGATTATGATCCGATTTACGAAACACAATGATCAAAGGACAAGAAGCTTGAAGTAAACTAAGTTGATGAGATAATTTCATATATCTAATTAAAATTTGTTGTTATGACATGTATTAGGATATTATTGAATTTAGATAAATATTTTAAAAATCATAGAACATAAAATATATAAATGAGAAAAGAATAAAAATTGTGATAAACGATCAAATATTATCACAAGTTTAAGAAAAACTATTACATATTTTTAATTGTAATGACTGTACTTGATATTATTGGAACCACAATTTGTATTACTGTATTTTTGCAGAATGACTGGCATGCTGCATAAAAATGGGAGACCAGCGTGTTGAAAACCCCATGGTTAATGGCATGCTGGTTAAACTGCAACTAAAATATAAAATTAATTAGATCCAACAAAACTAGTTGTTAATTAAATATTAAAGAAAACATTCTTCCTAGTACAATAAAATAATAACATTAATCTGTAATTTGATTGACTTAAAATCAGGAAGAGCATTCTAGTTACAAGACAATAAGACAACTAACAACTTATTGACAGTAATAGTAGTAGCAGTAGTTGTTGCTGTTAGTGTGGGCTACATCCACCATCTATCCCCACCTTAAAAATAACACCTTTTTCTCAAATTTCACACAAATCAGATGTTAATCATTGTAAAGCTGAGGAAATTTACTGCTAGTTTCTTAAATTTAATGTGTTTATTTTTGTGTTTTTGAATCAAATAACAATAAAATACACATAATAAAAGCACTTTCAGAATACCTTGAGTATTTTACATTATTAGACGGATAATGAAATGAAACATATATAGTCATTTTTGGTGTAATGTTGACAGTTTTAGAATAAAAACTTGCTCGTTTACTTAACGAATCCTCTAGAGAGCAATGTATAGCGACTTAAATTAGCATGCTGGCATTTTTCTTGGATAAACCAGAATGCTGGATTTTACCACACAGAAATATCTGATTTTATGGTCTCCCTAGATAGACTGGCATGCTTGTCATTCTGTGAAAATATGGTATAATTAATAATTACACATCTTTATCCCAACACCAGAGAATACTAATAAAAACTTTTTCTAACCTGTTCCCGGTGCGTTCTCCTTCTTCTACAAAATAGTAACGAACCAAAACAGATCTTTACTAACGTTTCTGAACCCTAACGACAGTTCTTCTTCAGGTATTTTTGAATCTCTGATGGAAATGCCACTCGTAAAACTTTAAATTTGAAAATATGTATGTTCGAATGCATGTTGACAATGATGTAAATGGGGAATGTGCATTCGAACATACATATTTTCAAATTTAAAGTTTTATGAGCGGCATTTCCATCAAAGATTCAAAAATACCTGAAGAAGAACTGTTGTTAGGGTTTGAAAACGTTAAGAAAGAGTTATTTTTGTTTGTTAAAGAGCTGTTTTGGTTCATTACGATTTAGTAGAAGAAGGAGAATGCACCGGTAACAGGTTAGAAAGAGTTTTTATTATAATTAATAATTATCGTCAGTGTTAGTTATAGCAGTATACATACAATACATTTATAAAGTTTGTAACAAAATTATTATATAATAATTGATTATTTTCTACTTGTTTAAGTAAAATATAATTTTTTATTTTTGTTATAAAATATACATATAATTATGTATTTATTAGTTTATTATTTTTTTAGTGTTTTTTGGACGAAAGTTGATGAAACTCTGGATGGGAAATACAAAAGTTCATGAATTATATACAGCTGCTTGTGGTCTTTACATCTGCTGGCTTTCATTGCGCATTTTGACATTGTTATTTGGATGGCTTCCAAGAGGATGGAATGCAGTAGCATCGAAATTACAAGAATGGATGATAATTGTAAGATGTAGTGCTTAGAAATTTTATGACTGCATTTGCTCACCTTTAATGACTAGTCATTATAATGAAAAATCTCTGGATTTGGTATGGCAGACTTTGTGAGTTATTATTTGAATGTAATGGTTGGTCATTCAAATAAAAACTCTTATGTTTCTGATGAGTGGTAACATAACATCAAAAATCTTTTGTAGTGATATTGGACCTCCTCATCCTCCCTCAACTGTGGTTTTGTCGATCCATGTGCAATCCATTTGTATGCAGTTGTAAAGGGTAATAAGAAATGTAGACAAAAGACCATAAAAAAGAAGGGAGTAAAGGTGGGAAAAGGGACAGTCAGAGTAGGTAGGAGGATGGTAGAGAGAGGAAGAGTAGTGAAGTGGTGGAGTTCAAAGGTGGGATTAGAGATTAAAGTTTTTTGTTACGATATTTGGTTGCTTGAGTTTCTGTGTGATGAACCGGCAGGATGGAATCCATAATTCAGATCGGGTTCTCTACATTGGTACAGCCGACAGGATAGTGAAGCCAGATTGACAAGATTCGATCTATGAAAAGAGTGATTATGATCCAGAATAAGAAGAGTTGATCAACAACAGGGCTGAGTGGATAATTGAGCATGGTGAAAAGGTTTGAGGAATATACAGGTTTTACCAGTGAAGTGGTAGGAAAACTTTTTGCTTTGTCAGAAACAAAATTCATGGCGGAATGCTAAGCATAAATGGAGTTAAAAAGAAAGATCTACAGATTGTGGCAGAAGTGCTTTGTGGCACAATAGATGATGATCTAAAACAGGGGTGTCAAGCCCGCGGGTCGCATGCGGCCCAATAAACTGTAAACAAAAGTGACAATTTTTTAATATTTTATTTATTTCAATCGCATAAACCTCAAAAAAGAAGTTTCACAAAGCCGCAAAATTTTATACTTATATAGTACTATTAAGATTGCTACTTTTGAGTTACATTTTAGAAAATTTTTGGCTACAAATACCAAAAACATCTGGAAACACTGATTCGTTCTTTTTTCGTTTCCACTCAAACGTGACTCATTACTCTTGCTTTTATTTGTGAAACAACAAATTATATTATTTTTAAAATTTATTTAATAGTTGTTTCTTCTTAAGTAAGTAAATATATATTATTTTTGGATAGATGTACCTTAGGTAGCCAAAATGGCCGCACTTCCGACTGTTCGTGTTCCAGAGGGACTCTTCCCGGAAGGGAGCCGCCGAGTGTAAACGTCACTAGTTATTGATTCACAGTATTTCTTGAACAAAATAAATAAAAAAAAAGGAAACATCTACTAAAAGTGTAGCTAATCTAACCGAAACGAACCTAACTGAAGCGCCGCCATTTTGGCTACTTAAGGTAAATATAATTTTTTTAAAAATTACTTTTAAATAACTAATTACGGTATTGTCAATTTACCTGTCAGCATGGCTTCGACGACTCAACAAAAAAACAGTTTCTAAGAAAAGGAAATATATCGATGAAAGAAGGTTATTTAATGAGAAATGGACAGAGGACTATTTTTTTTCTTGACGTAAAAAGTGAGGCACTCTGCCTAATTTGTCGTGTTTCAATACCTGTCTTCAAAGAGTATAATTTGAGAAGGCATTATGCACAAAAACACGCTTCCAAATTCGATGCATATCATGGAATGTGTCGCAAAGACAAAGTAATGGTACTGAAGAAAGGTCTTATATCTCAACAAAAGGTTTTTAGCAACGTTACAACTCAGACAGACTCCTTTGTGAAGGCTAGTTTTGTAGTCGCAAATTTAATCGCCAAAAAATCAAAATTATTTTCTGATGGCGGGTTTATTAAGGAATGCATGGAAAATGTTGCAGATATAATTTGTCCAGACAAGAAGAATGATATTTCTAAAATCAGTTTGTCTCATCAAACTATTGCAAGGAGAATTGACGATCTCGGGAAATATATCGAAAGCAATTTGAAAAGTAAAGCCTGTGGGTTTATATTTTATTCTTTGGCCATGGATGAAAGTACTGACGCTACTGATACGGCTCAACTCGCCATTTTTATTAGAGATATAAATGATGAATATAGTGTAACTGAAGAAATGCTCTCATTAGTGTCATTAAAAGACACAACAAAATCAAGAGATTTATATGAAACAGTGAAAAGAACCTTATGCGATTTTCTTTATCCCTTTCCAATATATCTGGTATAATTACGGATGGGGCCCCAGCTATGATAGGTGAGAAAGAAGGGCTTGTAAAATTAATAGAAAACGATGCCATTGCTGTCACAAATTCTCATTTGATGAAGTACCACTGCATACTACACCAAGAAAATTTATGCGCAAAAGCTTTGAAAATGGATCATGTTATGCAAATCGTTGTCAAGACTGTGAATTTTATAAGAGCCCGGGGATTATATCATCGCCAATTCCAAGAATTTCTCAAAAATATTGATGCCGAGTATAGCGATATCGTATATTTTGCAGAAATAAGGTGGCTCAGTCGAGGACAAATGTTAAAAAGATTTTATGACCTACTTAATGAAATCAAATCTTTTATGACATCGAAAGCAAAATCTGTGCCAGAATTTGACGATGCTAACTGGCTTGCAGATTTAGCATTTTTAGTAGATTTGACTGGTCATTTAAATGACTTAAACACGCGTCTTCAAGGGAAAAACCAACTTATTAGTGCAATGTTTCAAATCATAAACGCATTCCAGGTAAAACTGAAATTATGGCGGGCTTAATTAAATGCGAACAACTTTTTGCATTTCAACACATTGTCCAAACATATTCCTAAAAAGGGGAAAAATATGCGGCCTTACTTTTCGATTTGTTACAAGAATTCGAAAATAGATTTTCGGAAAAATAATCTCAATTTTTGTATTTTCGCGACTCCATTTACAGTCGATATACCAATGCTGCCAGCAACTTTTCAAATGGAATGCATAGAGTTGCAATCTGACATCCAACTTAAAGAGACATGATCAAATTTTTTTTTGACTTTTATAAATCATACCTACCCAGAGACATATATCCCACATTGCACAGTCATGTGTTGTTCATGTCATCATTGTTTGGAAGCACCTACATATGTGAACAACTATTTTCAAGAATGAAGCATACTAAGTATAAAATTAGAACTAAAATATCGGATGAACACCTTGAAGGATGCCTGAGAATTGCAACTACTTCAATCGAACCAGATATTGACGCATTAGTTTCTCAACAACAATGCCAAATATCAAATTAGTTTTATGATTTGGACTTATGCATAAAATAACACCAAATGAATTCCATTTGTTGCATTTATAATGAAAAAAGTTCTAAATAAATTTTAAGTATGAAAATTATATACTTTCCTTTTTTTTTGCTTGTGGCCCAAAACCTATAATTTCTTTCAATGTGGCCCAGAGAGACTAAAAGGTTGGACACCCTGATCTAAAGGTATCTGAAGATTGGATTATGGGAAAATTATTATAAAAAGTGATGATTTTGCTAGTGACTCAGGTTTTGTGTTGGAAATTTTGACCTCTACAGTTGCTGAAAGGAAACAGAAGGAAGAACAAGAAAGGCTAGAAAGGGAACAGAATGAAGAACAGGAAAGGCTACAAGCTGAAATGATGTGGGTAGAAGCTGAGAGAGAAAGGGAATGCCAGCATGAGTTGGAGCTGGTGTGGATTAGTGCTAATATTCAAAGTAGAATAAGTAATGATTGTTCTAGCATTGTGGACAACCACCCAGGTGAAGGGCCTGTTATCAGTATTGAGAAATTAATTAAAAGCATGAAAATGTTAATGCTGCCAGTCCCAACTAAGTCTGAAAATTGGAACCTATTTTTTTGTTTAGAATATGGCAGAGGAGTTGAAAGCAGAGATACTGATTAATATTGGAGAAAAGGCTGCAAATATTTTAATTTATATAACTGGAGACGAGTTAAAGGATTATTTAAGTGTTAAGAAGCTAGTATTATGAGAATACGAACCATCAGCTCAATACTGCCTAAAAAATTTCCAAAGTGCTATACGTAGACCCGACGAGACTCACATGCAATTTATGTCAAGACTAGTGTCAGTTTTGGAATATTATTCTGAGTTGAGGAGAGTGAAGGACCTAGAAGCTTTAAAACAACTAATCATGTCGGATAGATTATTCTAGACATTGAATGCCAAGACAGTGGCTCGTGTAAGCGTCCGTCAGGGGAGGGCTGGTTTAACTCTATCGACATGGCGAGAAAATGGGATCTATATTTCAAAAGTAAAGAAAAACCAATAACCAAGAAATATGATGATTTGCAACGATTGTGGCATATTTCAGAGGGTCAGGGCACTGATCTGAAGTATGTCCCCCACCACTGAGAGATGAGAGATGGAAATATGGATCTAACTATAGCCAGGAAATGAAACAGAAGGAGTGCTTTATCTGTAGATCAACACAACATATTTCTAGGTTCTGTCCACAGAAGATAAGGGATGCACCCATAAACGATAGTCTCAACTCAACAACCCTTGACAGATTGGAGACAAAATGACAGTGCAGTAGTGGTGAGCATAAGGTCAGAACACTTTGAGGTAAAAAGGAGCAGTCACGTGAAGGCAGCTCCTTGCATTCAACCTTTACAACACATTACGATTAACGTAGATGGGCATATATCAAAGCTATCATAGATTCAGGCACTCAAATTTCGGTCTTGCTCCTTGAAGATGTTATCAACTTGAATGGCAAGGATTGAAGAAAGATAGTTTTGAGTTCAGCATTTGGAGAAGAGTTTAAGGACAGATAGTAAGAGTCCCAATGGTTGTTAACCCCTTTATTCCCGATCATTAATTAAATTGATATAAGATTAATATAAAAATACATTAAAATACTTAAAACTGAAAAAAAACGAAAGAAATGCGTTAATTTTGAAGAAAAACCTTCAAATTTTATTTTCCTATGTTTCGCCTTTCTGTGAAATTTAACACCAATGAGTCATTGTTTACACAGCTGGGTGACCTTGAACACAGCTGGAGTCCGATTTCCCGGGACATTCTCATAGACGTCTCGGGAGGACAAGGGTTTAAAGTAGGGTGACTATAAGCGACACAGAAATTTTTAAATATTTTTAAAAAATTCAAAATTTTATTGCGATTTCCGACCCCCCCTAATTAATTAATTATATATTTATAAAAATATATTAATTAAAAAAATTAAAAAACCATCGGAGGTCGTTTTTGACATCAGAAACTAACTTTAAATAACTTTACTGAATGAAAATCCGTGCGCTACAACTTAAAAACCATGAAATAATTTTGATAAAAAACTCCCATTAAAAAACAATTAAGCCTTAATCGAGCCTTCACATAGGCTCATTAAAATCGCGATAAAATTTTTTTGCGCGGGAAAAAAATTTTGAAAAAATTTCGGGACCTAAAAAACATTCCNCGGGCAAAAAATTTTGAAAAAATTTGGGGACCTAAAAAACATTCCAAAAATTCAAAAAAAATTTTTTTTTCAAAAATGGCCTTAAGGACCACATTTTTCGTAATGCTATGTAGGCTTGACGAGTTAATTCGTTAATGGGAACTGAGGGGTTAAAGATCACTGCAACCAAATGTTATTATTTCCCGTAGAAGTTATGGTGGCACTGACCAAGTAATTGAAGGGCCCTTGTCTCATACTGCCAGGTATCTACAAAATGTTAGAAGGAAAAGCTGGAGTCTATAAACCTCCTCACCTTCGTAATTGTGTAAGTGGAAAAGATAATTGTGAACCAACTGATTGGGACCAAAACTGGTAATCAGATAAAAGTGATTGATACATAGATCCTTACAATAGATCATCACTTGAAAGGATCGATAGTTATAGTAGAAGCCTTTATGCTGAAATGATTCTAGTAGTTGAAATTTTAGTGACCATAAAGATTTTAAAAATGTAGATAATTGGGAAGGTGGTCACAAACAAGGAAGAGCAGATTTCTTTAATTTTAGAGGAAGAAATCTAAAAGTTGGCTCTGAGAGTTACATATAATGCAGGAGGGATAGTGAACATGATAACTGGCAAGATCCCAATGCACCAGAAGATGCTCCACGGAATTGCTGGCATGACAGTAATCACGGAAGTAAAAGTGTATAGAATTGCTGAAATGGTAGTAAGCGTTCCGAGTACAATGGCAATTGGAGCAGACAAGTTGAACAAAGGACCAATAATCAAAGGAAATATTCAGGGGATCGAAGTAGGGGGTATGGCTCCCGCAGCTTTGTATTTCTGATTACTGTCAGTTTGGCTGTGATCGAGGCCATACAAATCACATTGCAGTTCAAATAAATATTTGTGTTCCTCTGTTGGTTACGGAAGAAATAACTATGAACCTTAATGTCAAGGCAACTATGGTGGAAATTAGTTCCATCAGCGACTAGTGGGGTAACTGAGGACTGTTCATAACACATTGATGATGGAGGCAGCAATGAACTATTTTGGTGGAATTTACGATGCTTCCTGTTCAACAATGTTTTTGTGACATTAATAGTAACTTTTATTTCAATGTTTAATTATAAGAATTGTGAACATAATTTGTGTAAAAAGAAAATTGTGATAAGTTGTGTAGTG